GTAGGGAGTGCTGCCCATCAGCCAACCCAGGAACTGAGCCCTATGCCAGGAATGCAGACCTGCAACCCACGAGAGTCGTCAGAGCCCAGGGGTGACCTGAGCAACCCAAAGACGACTCAAGGGCTGAGGGGAGGAGAGGAGAGAGCGCAACATAGCAGCATGGGTCTGAAAGTCGCACCGGCCACGAGTATGAAGCTTGGAGAGGCGTTCACCACCGCGAGCAGCCTGCTACGGTTTGCCATTCAAGAGTTTAATGACTCAGAAGCCAGTGCAAGAGCTGCCCACAACGGTTCATCCCCACCCCAGACGACTCCAGTGACGACATTCGGGGCCACAACCAGCCAACACCCAACAGCACACGGAAAACAGAGACAGGGAGAGCAGCTGCACGGTATACCGCAATATTCACAGGTGCAGCCACGGCAGCAGCAGCAGCAGCAGCAGCAACAGCAGCAGCAGCAGCAGCAGCAACAGCAGCAGCAGCAGCAGCAGCGGCGGCAGCAGCAGCAGCAGCAGCAGCAGCAGCAGCAGCAGCAGCAGCAGCAGCAGCAGCAGCAGCAGCAGCAGCAGCAGCAGCAGCAGCAGCAGCAGCAGCAGCAGCAGCAGCAGCAGCAGCAGCAGCAGCAGCAGCAGACCCAGCAGCAGCAACAGCAGACCCAGCAGCAACAGCAGACCCAGCAGCAGGAGCGGCGGCAGCAGCAGCAGCAGCAACAGCAGCAGCAGCAGCAACAGCAGCAGCAGCAGCAGCAGCAGCAGCAGCAGCAGCAGCAGCAGCAGCAGCAGCAGCAGCAGCAGCAGCAGCAGGGGCAGCAGCAGCAGGGGCAGCAGCAGCAGGGGCAGCAGCAGCAGGACCGGGAGGAGCAGCAGCAGGGACAGGAGCAGCGGCAGCAAGCCACCACCACATCTGACCAGGAGAGGCCCGAAATTCTCTACTGCCCCCCGAACTTATCCCCCTACGATGAGGACGAAGCTGAACAGCCGCTGAGCCCCAACTACCACTCACAACCAGAGCGGACAACATGGGAGGTGCAGCTCACAGATGTGGAGATGGGTAAGGCGGCAGCAGCCATTATGGCTGGGGAGGAGCTTGGGCTGAGAGGCCTAGAGGCGGCGTCGCGGTTGGTAGACGACGTGGACCTCCCAAGGACCTGGCAGGAGACCATCACATACCTGCAGCTAAAGCTCATCGACAAGCCACCACCCACACCCCTACTGACCTCACCCTTCACTACCATGCCGGACTCGATGGTGGAGGAACTGGAGAAGGAGTTAAGATCCTTCAAAAGCAACCTTCGATCTTTCAGCAGAGTGGCGCAAGGGCTACAGGAATTGCAGCAGCAAGTGGTGAGGGGAGAGGTGACCCACGCACTCCGCATCTCAGCACCGCAGCTGCAAATGTCTGATCCACTACTGCAGGAGCAGCTAAACAAGGAGCTGGAGGAGGAGGCCAAAAAATTCAGGACCCGCTCGCACTTGACCCTGCTAGTTTTCAAGGAAAAGGAGAAGGCGGCATTTGCGGAATGCGTGCGGATCTGGGAGGTGAGGGCTCACGCCGACTTCGAAGCCTTCCTAGAAAAAGAGATGGAACGCTTTGACCGCTCCCGTTCAGCAGGCAGCCCACCAGCAGACAGCTTTCTCAAGAGCCTTGCCACAGACTACCTCACGCGTGGTACGGCCAGAGAGATAGTGCAGCACGCAACTTGGGTGTTAAGCAGCCGGAAAACCAGAGCACGCAAGGCAGCTAAGAAAGAGCGGACAGCGGCGGCAGAGGCAAGGGTGGAGACACTGCTGGCCGACCCTTCAACCAAGCTCCTAGAAGTCGTGCGGACGCTGGTGGCACAAGGAATGGATCCCCTGCTACAGCGTGTGACAGCTCTGGAAAACCGCCAGCCAGGAAACGACGAGTTGCAGACGGCCCGACAGCGGAAGAGGCAACGGAAGCGAGAGGCAAAAAAGGCAGGGCAGCCGAAACCAGCCTCAACCACACAACAGACAGGGCCAACAGAGACAGACACAGCAACGGGAGACGCAAATGGTACGGGTGCAACTGCTGCAGGGGACCGGAGTAGGCCTGAGAGTAGACCGGACCCAGGGGCTGCCCAGCAGCCAATAGGAGCAGCAACACCAGCACCACCCGTCTCAGAGACAGCAGCAGCAGCAACGGGAGGACCAGGAGCTGCAGGGGCGGTACCTACACACGACGGTGACACATCAGCAGGAGCCGAAGTAGGAGCCACAGCAGCTACTGGAGAAATGACAGGCGCCACGGCAATCATCCCATCATCTGCAGCCATGACGGGGTCACCAGCAGCACCTGCGAACACGACAGGCGTGAACGGGGTGACAGCTGCACCGGCGCCGGCCGCTACTGCAGCAAGAGGCTCAGCTCCGCATGCAACCAGAGCTACGGGGAGGAGCACGAGGCGAGAGGGGCGCTCGAGGGCAGCAACGAGGGCAACACAGCTGTCTGCAGCAACCGCACGGGCTGTTGCAGCGGTAAAGGTAGCTATGCACGGCCTGTCCTCCAACCCGCCTAGGATGCGCGCACAACAGCACCACGCACCTTCGACACACCGCGCACAAACAGGTCACCCCTTACGGCTCCTCTGGACCAACCAGCAACCCCCGCGCATGCAAGCAAGAGAGGCAGACCGCCACGAGCAGCACACACGCAGCAACACGCGAGCAGCACAGGAGCATACTGACACTGAGCGCCAGGTAGAGAGCACGGGAGCACCTAGGCAAGCGAGCGACGCACAAGGAGCACAGTCACAGCCCCCACAGCATGGGCAGCAGGTCAACTATGGGAACGGGCAGATTGGGTTTACGGCCTGGTACCCATATAGCCAACTGCAACCTGCACCACCCATGCTCCCACAATCCATGCAAGCCTTCCCGCTAGCACAGCCACCCATGGCAGCCATGGCACCTATGGCTGCCCAAGTTGCACAGCCCGCTGCCTCATACCCCGCTCACACCCCTGCATATGCTGCACAGATCCCAGCCATGGCAGCCGCACAGCAACCCATGCAGCACCCATTCATCCCGATCCCAACCCAACCCATTCCTGCAGCTGCGCAACCAGGGCCATCGGCATCATTCCAAGCCCCGGCACAGCAAGCGGCGTATCAGGCAGGCGCCACACCCTACACAGCCCCAACATACTACGGCTCACCAGTCCCTCCCGCCCCCCCACTGCAGGTCCCCCAAGCACCGCAGCACCCGCAGCAACCGGGCCCCATGGGGCAAGAGCAACCTCAGGGAGGTGGACCCCTCCTGTACCCTCCTGGCTTCTCAATCCCTATCAACATCCCCAGGCATTTTTTAGTGTGATAGCCCCACCCACCCCATCGCAGAACAGCCAACACCCCCTATTGGCAACGGGGCATGGACCAGAAAACGCCGCAAATCAGAGGTACGCACTCGACTCCCCACACTCTTGCCACTCACACGCAAACCCACCAAGCTCGCATTCACAGAGAGCGGCACCATGCAGCCCTGAAAATTTCCATCCAAGCACCGCTAGCACCCAACAGTCAGTACCACTCACTACCCCCTTGCTCTCTCACGACGCACCCACCCAGTGTCCCACATACGCACCGACAGTCCTCCAAAAAGATAACCAACAGGCCACAACCCCAAGAGGCATCAAACCAAACCGCTCGAGACCAAGGAAAAAGAACACTGCATCACACCAGTGTCTGGCAGCTAAACAACTGCTTCGTAGCAGTATGCTCACGATCCAAGACAGCATAGGCTCAAAATTCATACATAATAAATCCGCTCGTGCGCTATCGCCTATGGAGGTAGACGGCCTAAGCCAGGGCCTAGCATTCATCCCAACGCCTGCTGCACCCACTGAACAGAGCATCGTGGCTGCGCTCGCACGTTTTTCGAGAAGTGTGAGATTGACATCACACTTCAAGTCCTGCAAACCAACGCCTCGCTTTCGTATTCGAAACCCTGGTTACCAGCCCAAGCGTGCGTCGGCTGATGTTGAGAGCTACATCGCAGAGGTGGAAGGTAAAATAGTTAAGAACCTTCCGCTAATGACGCGACAAGCCCGCAAAAACATGAGTGAGAGCACGCTACGGAGCCTGAAGAAACTAGGTAAGGATCCGAATATCATCATCAAGCCAGCAGATAAGAACCTAGGATTGGCCCTTATGGACACTTCCTGGTATCGAGCAGAGGCCCACAGGCAACTCTCAGATACCAAAACATACAGTGAGGTCAAGACGGTACCCTTGGATCATCTCTTCGAGCGACTAGACGCCTGGTGCACGGAATACGCTCACAGGTTCCCTAAGGAAACCGTGGAGTATATTCTGGAACCAAGAGTCGAGGATGCGAGGAATGAGTCTGAGCATTTCAGAGTATGCAAATTTTATTTGCTACCTAAGCTGCATAAGACGCCAGTTAAAGGGAGGCCAATATGTTCGTCGACACTCTGGATCTTTGAGCATGCCAGCCAGGTCCTGGATCATTACATGCGTCCCCTGCTGGCGCTAGCGCCGGCACATCTACCTGACTCTATCTCCCTTTTGCACACGATGCGCACACTTCGCATACCCGCACATGCCATTTTCCTTACATACGATGTCGAAAGCCTGTACCCCTCCATACCAATGAAGCAGGGCTTGGAAGCCATAGAAGAAACAACAAGACGCTTTATACTGGCACAGGGTCTCCACCTGTACTCCGATCTAGGTATTTCAGCACAGCTGAGAGCCTGCACCGAGCTGCTCCGGCTAGTCATGACTGAAAACCACCTTCAGTTCGACGGCCGGTTCTACCGACAGATCAGAGGGACGGCAATGGGAACACCGGTGGCTGTTATATACGCCGTGTTGTTTATGAGTTGGCTAGACACTCGAATGGAGGAGCTACACCCGGCCCTGTGTGAACATGTGCTGCTGCACAAGCGGTACATCGACGATGGGGTTGTGGTCTGGACGGGCTCGCTCGCGGACCTACACAGATGGATTGAGGGGTACAAC